AGTACCAAATTTGACAAATTTCAATATACCTGATCAATACTGATATTAAAAAAGCTTTAAGAAAGATTGGTACATTGGTATGTACCTATAGCTCCAGATATCCAGGAGGCTAAGGCAGGAGGACTGCTTTAGCCCAGGGATTCAGAGCTAGCCAGCCTGGGAAACATAGTGAGATCCTGACTCTATTTTAAAAAACAAAAGCAAACAGAACTTCAAGATATTAACAAACCATATCCAAAAGTACATTAAAAAGATTTTCTACCACAACCAAAATCAGGAAATGCAGGATGGTTTCAACAAAACAATGTAGAAAAAGTTCAACAAAACAATGTAACATGGTGGGGGGGCACACTTACAGGATCTCACTGTATAGTCAGGCTGCTTTCTTCAAATTCAGTAATGATCCTCTGGCCTCACCCAGAGTGCTAGGTTTGCTGAGTACTAGAATTACACAGTGCTAGGATTACAAGCACACCCTACCATACCTGGCAAAAAAATTTAATACTCTTTCATGGTATAAAATAAAATAAAACTCATCAAAGTAAGTATGGAAGAAATCTACCTATTACACTCAAATTAAGGCTATTGTGAAAAACTCATAAAGCTGTCCCTCTAAGATTAAAAACAAAAGCAGGTATGCCCACTCACTACTGCCACTTCTATACAACACAGTACCAGAATTCATAGTCAGAAAAATGAAGCAAAAGAAGATAGAAAAGGCACTGAAATTAGAAAGGTAGCAAAATTATCTGTCTTCAGATTACATGATCTAATAGGCCAAAAAAAAAAAGCCGGGCATGGTTGTGCATGCCTATAATCTCAGCACTCAGGAGGCTGAGGCAGGAGGATCACTGTGATTTCGAGAACGGCCTGGACTACATAGTGAGTTCCAGGATCAATCTCAACTACATACCGAGACCCTGTCTCAAAAAAACCTCTCTCAGGATATAAAAATAATTTAAACATCAAAGGTTTTTCTATATAACAGTAATAGACTAGCTGAGAAAAATTAAGAAAACTAAACCATTCACAATACCTTCAATAAAATAACTAGGAATTAATCTAACAAGGAGGTAAAAAAGCTCTACTATGGAAACCTCAGAAAACTAGACTGACATTGAAGAAGACAGCAGAGGATGGAAAGACATGTTCATCAATAGGCAGTATTTTTAAAGTAGTCATATTACCAAAAGCAATCTTCAGATTCATTGCAATCCCTAGCTAAATACTAATGATATTCTTCACAAACTAGAAAAGAAAATCCTAAATTCACATGCAAACACAAAAGACTTAGAATAGCGAAAGCAATCCTTAGGAAAAAGAGCAAAGCTGAAGACATTAAAATACCAACTCCAAATTATACTACAAAGCCACAGTAACAAAACCAGATGACACTAGCACAAAAATAGATACCAAGACCAATGTAACAGAATAGAGGACACTGAAACCAACCCATGCAACTACAATATGATTCTAGACAAAGGAGACAAAAATATAACCTGGCAGAAAGACATCATTAACAAATAATGCTGAGAAAATTGGATATCCACTTGCAGAAGACTGAAACTAAATCCCTATCTCTCCTTCTGTATAAAAATTAATTCAAAGTGGATCAAAACCCCAGATATTAGACCTGAAATTTCAAAACCCCTAAAGGAAAACAGAGGAGACACTTGAAGCTATAGACACAGGTCAAAACTTCACAGGATTCCAACAACACAGGCGGTAACAGCAAGAATCAACAAACGGGACTGCATCAAATTAAAAAGTTAGTGCATAAGGGAAACAACTAATAGAGTGAAGAGACAGCTTAGAGAATGTAAGAAAATTTTTGCAACTACTCTTCCAAAAGAGAATTAATATCTAGAATATATATAAAGAATGCAAAAAAATGCCAAAAAAAACCCAGCCCTATCAATAAATGAGTAAACTGAACAGACACTTCTCAAAAGTAAAAATGCCAAATATATGAGAAAATGTTCAACATATTTTGGCCATGTTGAAAATGCAAATCAAAACTACACTGAGCTGGGCATGATGGCACACGCCTGTAATCCTAGCACTCAGGAGGATGAGGCAGGATGATCTCTGTGAGTTCAAGACCAGTGTGGTCTACACAGTGAGCTCTAGGCCAGTCTCAACTACATAGTGAGACCTGGTCTCAAAAAAAAAAACAAAAAAAAAAACTAAACATTGTTCTCCAAATACCACATCCCCTAACTGATCAAGTTACTCATTTTCAATATTTTAAAATTATACATCATTTATTCCTTTTTAAAATACTGTATCTAGATTGCCAAACAAACTCTTTGAGGAAAAAAATATTTTTATGCTTATGTTCCTTAAAGTCACTATCTCTCTGTATTAAATAAGAAAAAACTAGAAGGCAGTTTTAAGAATTGGACATGCATTAAAACTTAAAAGTATATGGTAGCAGGCTGGGATTTAGCTCAGTGGTTCCGCTGTCTGCCTTGCAAGTGCAACGTCCTGAGTTCCACCCCTGGTATCAGAAAAAAAAAAGAAAAGTACATGGCAGGCAGTATGTTAATTCAGAAACCAGAATGAGTGGGAAAAAAATTCATACTATACAAAGTTAACAAATGGAAGAATTTAAAGACAACCTTTTGGTTCAGGCATAGAAAATAATTCTTAGAGGATTTACACCCATTTCTAATATAAGAAACAAAATGAAAAAAAATAAGGTTCAGTTTTTACAACTAAGAAACAAAGGTAGAAAGGTGGAGTTAATAGCATGAACACATGAAATAACACTAAAATGAAAAAGAACTCTGAATATGATTGTTAGGGACTGTGTCTCTATGTCCCCCCAAAGTCTCATTTTGTCATAGGTGGGGCTTTTTGAAGATGACTGGATCTAGGGTTTGTGCTGGTGAAATTAAGGCTGTGATGCTGGGATGGATCACAGTGCGATGCTAAGACTAAGGGTGTGAGTGCTACCTGCCCTAAGAGTGAGTAGCCTCCATATGCTACAAGGGCAGAAAGAGCTGTGGTCAGGGCTTGTCCCTTGTTGCTTATGTCTGCTGTTGCTTGTCTTCTGCGATGCTCCTCTGCCCTGACCCCCTGCCCTGGAGCCAGCCAACTATAAACTGAAATCTCTGCAAACTTTTCACAAATAAATTTTTCCTCCTTTAACTTAACTTTGGGTGTTGGGTATTTTTGTCTCAGCAAAGGAGAAAAGTAACTAAGACAATGACCAAATGAAGTTTTATAAGATCAGTTAACACACAACAAAAATTAAAACCAACTGTCAGTTCCACCAAGAAAAAGAGGAAAAAGAGAGAGAGGGAGTCAAAGGACTAAAAATTTAAGTAAAAAAACAAGGATAAGAAAAAGAGATAAAAACAAATCAGTTGAAGATAAAGCTACAAATGAGTAGCATGAAAGTCCCTTTATGGTGACAGAGTTAATTTTTATCTTAACTGTGATGGGATTTATTTAAAACTATCTATGAGATCAAATTACATAGATACACATAGCATTTATACACAAAGAACATATATATAATGTAAAAAAAGTAGCAAGTGATAAGTCTAATAAATAAGTTAGTAGAAGTATATCAATTTCTTGGTTTTGCTAGTGTACTACATACAGTTTCACCATTGGGAGTGGTTAGTGAAAATTTCAGATGAGACTGGGTGCATTCGGGGTGGTATGGGAAAATATCACAGGACATCTTGTGTATCTATCATTACTTTAAATTAAATTTTCCTTTAAAAGCCAAGGCAAGCAAAGAAGATATGAAAATGCATCAAAAAAAAATCTAGGAATTATGGTGATTATTAAAAATTTTACTGAGACTTTGTGTCAGATAATATAGCTATCAAAAAAGAAAGGAAAGAAGGAAGGGAGGGAGGGAGGCAGGGTAAACATAACAAGCTCAAATTAAAGAAATTTAAGCTACATGTGGGGCTACACTCCTGTGATCTCACCATTCTCGAAGATGGGTAAGAGGCTTGAAAGTTGACCATAACCCAAGCAACTTAGCAACTCAAGGAGACCTGACTCTCAATCAATGATTTTTAAAGGGCTGGGGATATAGTTTGGTGTAAAAGTCCTGTGTTCAATCCCTAGAACCATTTAAAAAGAAATGGAGATACACACACACACACACACACACACACACACACACACAACACGTATGTATGAAGGGGTGAGAAACCCAAGATACAACTACTATAATAACAAAAATAAAGGAAATAATAATAAATAATAAAGAAACAACTAAAAGCAAAACCCAGATTATAAAGGACAAAGGTTCCTTGTTGCTGTTGCTGTCTTCCACAGCCATGAAGTGTTGCCTCTCTGCCACCCTGCCTTGGAGCCAGCCAATTATGGACTGAAATCTCTACGAAGTATAAACCAAATAAATCTTTCCTTCTTAAAAAAAAAAAAGGACAATGGCTATGCTACCATGTCTGAACCTAATTCTCTATTAAGAAAAAAAAATGCAAAAAAACAAGGTGTCTAAGGCAACAAAATTACTTAATCTAATTTTTACTTATATGTTGTAATAATAGCATAATGTGTGACATTATATGAGGAAGAAAAGAGGACAACATGAATACTAGCAGCAGTTGGATACATACTGAAATACTTTGGGAAATAAAAAAAGACTAGGACACTGGAAAGAACATAAGAACTTGAAAAAGGGTAAAACAAATCTTAATTTTTTTTTTTTGTACCTGGGATTGAACTCTGGACCTTGCACTTGTAAGGCAGATGGCAGCACCACTGAGCTAAATCCCCGGCCCAAAACAAATCTTAACTTTAATGATGTATAGCATAATTTAATTTTAATGATGGACCACAAACTCAGCTTCAAGAATACCTTAAACTCAAATATATTAATATAAATGTTGATTATATGTATATAGCATGAAAATAAATTTTGCCCTTATAAGGAACAATTTTATCCTAAATCATCATTTCCTAAGATTACCATTTATAGATATTAATTATAGAAGAATTAAAATTCTTACTTCTTGTCTTTTCTTAAGATCTTCTTTGGCTGCTCCAAAACGTTTGGTTAACCTGGCTATCTTGGCCTGACAGAAAATCAAAATGAAAAGAAATCAAGTGTCAGTATTGGACTAAAAAAGAATACCTGCATATATAACAAGAAACTCACAAAAACAGAATCCTCAGAAGATAGTGAATAATAAAGAAAACAGGGCAGGGGATTTAGCCCAGTGGTTCAGTCACCGGCCTCACAAGCGCAAGGTCCCAAGTTCAATCCCCGGTACCAAAAACAAAACAAGGCAAAATGGTTGCAAAATACATACTTAAAAAATATACAAAATCATATCAAAACTATAATGACCCCATACTTAATTTTTTTACCATGAACTGTACAGTGGGCATACATGTAAGTCATAGGATCTCTTGCCAAAACTACTTTGAAGCATGAGAAATACACTGAATCATTTATATATAGCTTTTTCTTTTTCCAGATAGGGTGAATGCTTCTCAGTGTCCCACTACTGTCAAGTAAGACTGCAATTAATTATGCTGTTTTTCTTCTGTAGTATTTTTTTGGGGATATATTCACAAGGTAGGATTCCTGGGATAAAAGATACTTTTATAGTTCTTGTCTAAACATTTTTGAGAAAGTCTTTACCAATTAATTTACTTTCCATAGCACTATATATAGATGCAGGCTCAGATATTAGACTTTGAAACATTTAATTTCATATTGTTAATATTTAATAATTCAAAATTACCTCATTAACATTAAAATTTGTCAATGAAATTACTATATTGCTTATACTGTCTGATTACCTCTTTTGCCCAAATACATATCCAAAAGAAAGGGGGTGCAGAAGGAGGGCAGAAAGAAAAGACCATTACATCACCATGTGTACATTTGGTAGTATTTCCTTTCAGCCTTTTACTAAGGCACAGATGATACTCAATTTTCTGTTTTTGCTGCTGCCATTTAACATTAAACACATTTTCAAGATTCAAATAAATTCTGAGTATGTTCATGAAGTCTGCCTAAGAAAGAGCTCCTCCAAACAATCTCTTCTATACACTATAATCTATTTTTTAAAGATTTGCCAGAATGTTCTGGCAAAACTTTTGAGGCCCAATGATTTATTCAAAAATATACCTTTGACTATAATTTTAATAAAGTTACTCAAAACTCTAGGCTTTCTACTATCTTTTTAAGATGAAAATTTTGCTTCCATTCACAAACTCTGCATCAGTTGACAGATATGATTACGGACATCTTTGTCACATAAACACAAATGCAGCCATTCCCCCAAATCATAAAACAAATTAAATTCATAAACCAATGCACCACTATATTTTCTAGATATTTTTCTTGTTATAGTATCTTCTTGTTGTGAAGTAATACCTCATTGTGGTTTTGGTTTGCATTTCTCTATGAATAATAACACGAATCATCTTTTCATGTGCTTCTTTTACAAATACTTATTTAGAAAAATTTCAGTTCATCTATGAAGTCTTTGGCTCATTTCAATTTTTTTGTTGTTTATTTTAGTTTTTGCTCTTTTGCTGTTACTTTTAAGAGATCTTTATATGTTGTGGATGTGCTCATTGTTTTGTTTTGTTTTTTTTAAGTTTATTGGTACATTTTAGGGAATGTGCTCATTTTGTCTGGTAAGCAGTTCTGGTACTATAGATTAATATACAGCTATGTTTAATAAAAATGAAAAGTAGTAATTATTAACAAATATGGATTAGTAAAATAACATTATTAAAATTCCATGGAATAAGTAGATTAATAGAAAAAGAATCTCTTAATAATGTTATTTACTACTAAACATGGCATGCTAGATGCCAGGCATTCAATGATGGAAAAAAAAAATTAAGAAGTACCAAGTTAAATAATTTCTGATTTCAATTATCAATCAAACTATGTCACTTACAAGTTTATATAAGGAACTCAGAGCAACCAGAACCTCAGGGTCATTACAAAGGTACTTAGTTAAGATGAAGTTATTCAAGTTAATCATCTAATATGGATAGTGTCCTTAAAAAGAGGGAAATTTGAACACAAGCACACAAATAGAGATAGTGCTCCATGAAGATAACACAAGAGATTACGGTAATGCTTCCATAAGGCAAAGATTGGGACAGCAAGGAACATTAAAGACTATCAGCAAACCAACAGAAGCTACAAGAGATGCATGAAGCAGACTCCTCCTCCTCATACCATCGACCCTCAAAAGAACCAATTTTCCTAACTCCTTATTCTTATACTTTGAGTCTCAGAAACCAGAAGAAAATATATTTTTATTGATGCAACCACCCTGCTCATGGTACTATTTTTACAGCAGCCCTAAGAAACTCTACAGACTCCTTTTACTTTTAATATTTAGAATTTAAATGAGTATTATATTAATTTCAAATAAAAACAAAAAAGTTATAAAAAGGATACATAGGTATATGATCAAAGTCAATATACAAACCTGCAGTTCAGTAAGAACTGTTTTATGTCTCTTGTTACATTCAATCTTTTCTACTCGTGTTTTCAATTCTGCTAAAGTCTTATCGAAGACAGCACACTGTAATGCACACAATTTTTCTTCCAGCAACCACTGCATAACCTAAATAAATACATATTCCTTGGTTATGCAAGGGTAATTCAGAAAGTAAAAATCAGTAAGTATTAATGCTGATAGCAATGCTAACTAATTTAATGAGTAAAACCCATAAATCAATGGTAGCTACTGAAATTTTATATTTTAATTTTATTTATATTTATATTTT